AGTTTAGTCTGATTCCTCTAAGTCTTTTTTTTTTTTCCAAAGATGTCTCACCGATGTTTGTATGTTGAAGTATGCCAAACCGGTGGCATGGCCTGGTCCTAGATGAGCACTTCTAGAAATACTATTTTTGCAGATATTCCAAACACAGGCTGGCTGCTATCCTGGCTGCTTTCCAGGATATAAGACAGAGTTTTCTACTGTGTTAAATAGTTCATTCCTGCCTGCTGGAGTTCAATTCTCAATTATTTTCACATAGAAAATCCGGGCGAGAATAGTTTTCTACTTTCAGAGCTGTTTTATGAAGCATACCACATACACAGTAGTGCAGTTACAGTAAATCAGAATGTACAGGAGAAAACTAGAGAGTTTATTCTTTACATGGAAACCAGAACTTCCCTGCAAGAGCTATAAAAATTTGAAATTGGAGCTGATAATTCCGGGAACTTGAACCCACCAAAATCTTCCCTAAGTAATAAAATGTCTCCAGCTTATTTCTGGCTGAATGACCTGAATCTGCGTCTCTGTGTTACAGAGGGAAACACATGGAGCACCGACAGCCCCAACAGGACCAGCAGCTGGCTAGTGCTGAGAAATCTCACCCCTCAGGTATGTTTCTGTGCTCCCACATCATCTGTGTTAGATCCTGAAGACGGCAGCTAAAAATGTTTTTCCGTGTCAGATTGATGGCTCCACCCTGAGGACTCTGTGCATGCAGCACGGCCCCCTGATCACATTCCACCTCAACCTGACTCAGGGGAACGCCGTGGTGCGCTACAGCTCCAAGGATGAGGCGGCCAAGGCCCAGAAGTCCCTGCACATGTAAGCTGCCTTACTACTCCTGTTAGAGCAGCGATTCCCAACCGGGGGTGCATCGCATTGCAAGGCGTACATGAAAATAGTTTATTTCTTAGGTAATGAAATAAAATAGGGCTGAGATCTGTTACTTTGTGAGGACCCAATTAAAAAAAAAGAAAAACTGAACCAACCAAAAAGTAAGTTTGCTGTTAAACAGATCCAAACCAAGCAGAGGAACAGGCTGGACGTAAAGAACAGCTTTTCACACTGACCTGTCGGAGCTCATCAAAGCAGCTCAGGTGTCTGGATGAAAACTAATAAAAATAATTAACCTCCTAAAATCCACCCGGTCTGCGGCGACCATTTTTGAAGCGTTTACAACAAGCAGCTCAAAAAACATGAAAACTCCAATAGCAAAATGTTTCCCAATATAGAAATG